GGGAGATCGCTGTCCCTAGCTAGGGAGGAGCCGGGTTCAGCGGGGTGGGTCCCCTTTTTTCCATCTGGGTGTCCCGAGCAGGCCGAAGAACGGGGCGCTACGTGCGTTTGGCACGTCAGGCCCGCGGTGCCCAGGCTCTTTGCTGGGTGTCCCTGGGGGTGCGTCCTAGGGCTCGAAATTGTAGGAGCAGGGGTGGTTAGGTTGCTCCTCAGCCGGCCTTGCCTTTTTCATCTTCCCAGGTTTGGAAGTCGGTGATGGCAAGTCCCTTTTGTAACCCCTCTGCAATACTTCAACAGTCAGATCGAGCGTGATGTTGTCTCTACCACGTAGTTTCCTGTGACAATCTACCCCTGTCCTCCCGTTGGTTGTGTGTGTTAGGAAGTTGCACAGCCTCATTACAGATCTGCAGAGCTCTGTCTCTGGACCCTATCCGAGAAACTGACATCCACACTGTATACATTTCAAAGAGGTATCTCAGAGTAGTTCTGTTCTGGTACTATGTGCTGAGCCCCCTTAACAGCTGGGGACACGTTTGGTGCGTTCAAGGAGTGCGTCTTCCAGTTTAGTTTTATCCAGAAAAATTGGTTTTGTACGCTCCAAGAGTGCTCCATGATGCTACCAGAGTGTGGTAGACAAGTACTATTAGAAGATTTGCTTCAGAAAGTGAAATCATGATGTGAATTGGAAAGTTAACAGTAGACTCAGCCTTTGCGGACCACCTTAAAATAAGAGGATTTGTACCATTTTTCCTTCTGTAAATGATCCAGTGGAGTTCTGTCTTTTGGCAATAGAGATAACTTCTGAAATGATGTTTAGAGTTTGTCTGAATGTGGAGTAGCATTACAGCACTCATAAATCCATAGATCTATTTTTACTTATAGTAGAGCAGACTGAATCTTTGTTTCCAATGTTACCAAGATTAATAGAGTTATTGATTCTGAGTGACTAGTTCTATTTTCATATAATTGAATGTTTCTTACTTACTTCTAATTCTTACTTTCTAATGTTTCTTACTTATTAACCTTCCCATTAGCCACTGTTATGTGTCCTGGACATTGACTGATAGCAAATTGCAAAGTACTGTGTGGTGTCACAGTGACCTTTTGTTTAAGGAGCTGTTGTGAGTGGGTGTGTCCCTTAGCTTGTTTCCTTGCAAGGGTAACTTGCATAAGAATAGTGTCATCCACGCCTACTGTCCTCAAGTAGAAGTTGTGTGGTGTGGTGTAAACAAAGATAAGATGCAATCCCACATCTGTTGTGATCCTAAAAAAATTAACACAACATTAACGTAGGAAATCTCAAACATTGAGTATTTTCTCATGTAGTAATAAAGATTAAACCTGTTTTGTTTGCTAATGTGTTATGTGCAGCTCACCTGAAGGGAAGCTTCCAATTTGAGAACATTCCCAGATTATTGTGCTGTTCTAGCTCTAGGTTTGATCTCTGATCTGAGGCAAGATAGGAGAATGCTTCAGTGTGTCTCAGCTAGCAAATGCATAAAATCTCAAATACCTTTCATTTCCCCAAGTAAGAGAATAGCTGACATGTTATTTTATTTAAAAACTTGTAACCCTGTGGACAGCAACAGCTGACTTGCAAAAATGGGATTTAAGACTGAGCAGATGAACAGTGAAGCAAGGATCCGTGCTCTCTGAACGATGGTGGTTTTGTATCGCAGGTACATAGAAACGGAGCAGCCATTATGCAGGATTACATATTCTGGTCTAACAGTTTTGGAAGTTTTCAATTTTGTTGAAACATCACTTTATTAGTGGTGCTGAGTTCAAATAATGCTCGTGGTTGAGTACTGCTGCTGGCAGTGATTGTTTCTGCTATTTTGGACCTGTATACCATTTTGAAGTGGCTTTGATATCCTTTGTTGCATAAAAAGGATATTTTGGGAATCCTTGCTTTAGGGATGATACCTCTGATAAAGAAGATTTTTTAGAAGTCAAATCCTGAGTGACCTGTATGAGTATTCCTTATCCTGATAGATTTTTTTTTTCTAAACTGCTGGCAGTGATTGTTTCTGCTATTTTGGACCTGTATACCATTTTGAAGTGGCTTTGATATCCTTTGTTGCATAAAAAGGATATTTTGGGAATCCTTGCTTTAGGGATGATACCTCTGATAAAGAAGATTTTTTAGAAGTCAAATCCTGAGTGACCTGTATGAGTATTCCTTATCCTGATAGATTTTTTTTTTCTAAATATTCAATCATTTTTGCAGCAAAGTAAGCTGATTTTCACTTAGCTAAAACATTGGATAATAATGTTGTTGGGTTTTTGTTTGTTTCCCCCCCGTTTTCTCCGTTCTATCCCATCCAAAGTTCATTTGAACTCTGTTAAACACAGTAACCCCGTTCCCATCTCTCTCTGACTCAAAAAAGGATGTCCACATGTTTGTGGTAGCTCCCTGTTGAAACATAACTTTTTTTATCAGTTATGCTCTCCTGATCTAGATGCAATAAACATAATTTGATGTTTTCCTTTATGGTATTTTTCCAAACAAGCCAGAAGTCAAATAAAACCATGCCACATATGTTGCTTTACTCTTATCTCCTGAGCCAGCTACCAGATCAGGGAAGGAAATCAAAGTGGTGTGGCATGATTTGCACTTGACAGGCCTGCTGTCCACTTTTCATCAGTTTGTTATCTTACACATCTTCTTAAACCAATTAATAATTTGTTCAACATTGTTTCCCTGGACAATAGATGAGGTGAGTGCTTTGGATTGCAGATACCCGGGGAGAGAAGCCTTGCTTGCTTTTTTCCCCATCATCTCAACCTCAGTGAACACATGAAGATAACTGATAGGCCAAGTTCTTTCTGCGTAACTAACATTTTTCTTGAGTGTCTTAGGATGAAAGAACTAAGGCTTGAATTGACATTTTGTCTGGAATCTGCAAAGTCTGTTGTTGGTGGGATTACCTTCTATTTAATGGTATACAAAAATTAATGTATTCATTCAATTTAAAATTTCATGCTGGGCAGAATGCCGCGATCTTTCAAGTCTTTTGGATGTGTTCGATCTATGCAACTGCTTCTCTTTTACTAGGGCATTATATTAGAAAGGAACAGGGGACTGGATATTTTACAGTGATATTTCTGGAACCTTAGCTTGTATGTGCTGACTTTGCAAGATTAACTGGTCTGTCCCCCATGACTCCAACCTGCTGGTTTGTTGTTGTGGTTGGTTGGGTTTTTTTTTTCCAGAACTAGAATATGTCTCCAATGTGTCAAATCTCTCTTCTTAATTTTCTGCTTACAGATGATATAATTAAACTGAACAAGAAAGAAGAGAGAAAGCAGTATTCCCCCAAAATGAAAAGAGGGCTTCAGCAGAACCAAACTCGACAGTTCAGGACGCCAGGCTCCAAGTGGGGAATTCAGCAGCAGAAAGGTGCGTGTGTCAAACATTATGTGGATTGTGTGATATCTTTTTTGAGCTGAAATGTAACCTAATGAAAATGTATGGATTGACGTGGTCAATTCAGGTGTCTTTCGAATAGTGTCGTGCAGTTTTGATTATAATTCAGTTCTTTGTGATCCATTTATATTTGGTTTTGTTTCTGGTTCACTGTGAGAAAGTAATTGATGTGTTTGGCTGACAGGGAGCTTAGGTGCTTGATGGGCTCTATTTGACTCTAGGAAGGATTGGCTTTTTTTCTGATTTTTAAAAAAAGTATTTTCACTTTGGAAATTATGTTGATACTTTGTCCCTTCTCAGAGATGGATAGAAAGTGCTTACAACAAAGCTTCTGTGCTAGGAAATGGGGAGGCCTTGCCAGAGCTCAGAGCTTTGTGCAAAAGCGCGAGCATATTTGTATTTGCTAGGTAGAATTGTCCTTGTAGGCCTCCCCAAAATGTCTGTTACTGCAAACTGTAATGCTGCCTCTGGGATCTATAAATGGATAGTGCAGTGTCTGAGCTGGCTTTTCTTGTTAAGATCTTGGGGTGCAAAGGAAGCACCGTGTCAGTCTTCTTGAGCCAAAGTCTTTACAGTGGAATACAAAAGTGGGAAAAAAAATCATAAAGGCAAGGAGTGAAGATAGGAAAAGTACATGGTAACAGCTTCACTGTAGATTCCCTGAGTAACTGTCAGGGGGTTTTTTTGACAAACAGGAGTCATATTCTAAAATGATTCCCAGGTTTTTGTCCAGTAAGTGGCCAGCACTTGCCTGAAGTATAGACTGCTTTTGCTTATGTTTAATTTTGAAAAGTACCTTTTTAGCACTGGATTATCAAAATACAGAAAAATACTGTCTAATCAGAAAGCTTACCACCTCAATCCAAGGTAATTAAGAATTTTAAGTTAATACATGCAATTTCTTGTTTAGTAGCATTCATTTAAAACAAATAGACATTTGTCTGGTGTATTTACAGTGATCCCCATTTTATCTTTGTCATTGCTTAATATTTGCTGTAGCAGCAGCTCATAGTTAGCATCTTGAACAGAAGTGTCTTTGGGGATCAGTAGAATGTTGCATTGCTCAGGGCTCAGAGGAATTTTGCTTTTTATACGGGCCATCATAGTAGCGTTACTTAATTTGTGCATCTTTAGTAAATTGGTGACAGTGCAGGAAAATATCTTACTTCAGTCAGCCCAAGTGTTTGTGTAGGTGAAAAAGGAAGTGAATTTAAGTTGTAGATGATCAAACACGTAGGCTTCTATTTATGAGCGCAGGTGTCAAATGCAATTGTTTATGAACCAAAGGGCACAAAAGAAGCAGTATTGGATTTCAGAATTTTAGGCGGAATTTGAGCTGTGAATATAAAATTCTAAATACAACTGTCTTGCAGTTACTTTTCTTTCTTGGAACCTTGCCTGCTCTTGTTCTAGGAAAAAGCAAACTTTTTTTTTTCAAAATTACCAGATTCATGACATGTTGAAATGTTGTGAATAGCTTTAACTGCTCCCTCCTATACAGGTCACACATTTTCTCCCATTGAAAGCAAACCTCTTTTATATTGTTTTTTGAGCAGAAGGAATCATTAAATAGTTTTTCTGAGCATTCTAGTTATTAGTAGCTTATAGCAAATAGATTTATTGCTGCTCTGTTGCTGTTGAAGTTATTCTGGTAAGTAGCAAATCCTCTCTTGTTTGTGGACAGCTTCAGAAACCACAAATGATCAACAGCATTCAATTTCTTGTGGTTTTAGAAGTGGCTGCCAAGCTCTCTGGAGAGAATCGAGGAACTTGAGCTGGGACTCTTTTCAGCTTTTTGCAGGGAAAAACAGAGAGGAGAACGTTGTTCGTTTAAATAAAAGTTGTCCTTGGTGATACACAGAATGCAACTGCACAAAACCCTGTGCAGCCTGAGCTAACTTTGAGGCTGTCATTTATTTGAGCAGAGGTTGGTCCAGAGAGCTTGTGAGGTCCTTTTTGGCCTAAGTAACCCTGTTTCTCAGCTTTTCTATTTGAAAAGAAGAGCATTTGCTAACCATCCACAAGATGTGGGTACATCGCAGTTTCTCCATGGCAAATTTATCTAAGCTGGTTTCTGATTGCTGGTTTACCTCATGCGATGGTTCCTGTCTCATGAAGAAGCACACATTTATTATCGATGCTATGGGGTCAGACATGTCAAAGCTAGGTGTGTCTGTTGCTGTAGAGCCGACTCCTTAGTCTTAAACTTATCTTGCAGTCTGAGGTTCTGAAGAGGATGGTACTTTGGGATAAAACTGAAGCATGGTCTGTATTCGTAGCGTGAAGCTAAATGGCTCCAGACAGGGTTAACCAAACCCTTGTAACTGGAGATTTCAGATGTTCATACTACAGACCTCAGACTTACAAGCCTTTTATATTCAAAGGCTGCTTTCAATTCTTAGTTTCATCCAGACTGCCATGCAGACTTCTAATTGAAAACACTTTAAATGTGATGTAATTCATATGCTGTTTAATATGGTTTTGTGGGCCGATTGCTATATTCCTTTTTTCTTAAGTCATGCCTTGGGAACCACTAATCTAAATAAATAACCTTTGAAGTTGCTTTTTTTCTTTTCTTTAAATTAAACTGGTAATTTAAAGTTTGCTGAATGGGTGCGGAGCTGGTTTTTTTTGGTTGGTTGGTTTTATATTATGCAGCACATGATGAAGTTCCATTTCGGAGTATTTTGCTAGTTTTCTATGCCAGAATGACTCTTAAGTTGTCCCTATAGACATGTCAAATAACACATTTTCAACAGAAATTAATGCAGTGAACTAGAGCAGAATTGTGATCCATATGAGAAGCTGATTATCGTTGTGCTGGGGCTTGGGCCAGGCCTACTAAAGTAACTGAATGACAAATTGTCTTCAAGTGTAGTGATGGCTTCTGCTCTATGGCTTGAAGTGTGCAGCCAAATAACTTGTGCTGTCTGCATAGTATCTTAAAGCAATAAGCTTTTTTCTATCAATAGGAATTGTTGGATTCTTCATGCTTGTTGCAGGTTATGGTAAAAATCGTTTGGGACGCAGAAAGAAGATAACAGGGAAGAAGCGTTCTTACGGAGTTATAACTGGCTTGGCAGCCAAGAAAGCAATGGGTTCACGCAAAGGAATTAGTCCTCTGAACAGACAGCCACTTAGTGAGAAGGTAATTAATGCAACTCTAGTGGTTTATGTAAAAACAGATTAAAAAATGAAATACAATGGCTTCAGAACAGCGCTACTGAAATATAAAATGGAGACATCTTGTACAACCTTTTATTACGTTGGGGATATGTTAGCTGAGTTCTTGTTTGTTTTGAGGGGGTTGGCTAATTACTAGGTTTGAAAGTTTTTTAACACCGAATTGGGTTGCAAGTCCTGAAAATTGAAGTACAGAAGTATATTCTGTACCAGTGTGGAGGTAGTTACTGTATTTTTACAAGAAAAGCTCACTTACTAGGATTTCTTGTCTTTGCATTGCTTTGTTACAAACCAGTGATTCGGCCAACATGCAAATGTTAAGCGTGTGCCTGTTACAAAAATGGAATTTTTTGCAAAATACTTAATTCCATCAGTAGGCCCCCTCTTCTGCATTCCTCCAGTTCATTGTTGCCTGCTCTGTCTCATTCAGTATTGTAGAATGGGGATTGCTTTTGGATTTGTGAAGAGTAATTTTAAAGACATGTGGAACGTGTATTCTGCCAGTTTATATAGTAGTTTATATAGTTTATACAGTAATCAAAAAGTAACTGCTAAACTATTTTTTTTTTTTTTTTGCCTGGTAATGAGGGGAATATAGAATTCCTGAAAGTGTAGAAGGTATTTTCAAATTATGCTAGACTCTGAAGGTAGGCAAAGCCAAATGTATTCTATACACAGTTTGTAAATGGAATTAAAGGAAAAGTGTTTGTGTGTATATGCTTAATATATTTACTGTTTTTTAAGAACACACAACGGAATTACCCCATTTTGAAAAAGAAAACAAATCTGCAGAGACAATCTGAAATGCAGAGAAAACAAGCCCCAGCCCTCAGGAGGCCTGCCCCTCTAAACAGAAGGTAAAATACCATGTCTGCTTTCTGAACTCTTCTTGACAACTTCTCATAGTGAGTCTTGTTTGACAGGGCTAAGTCCAAAAAAAAGACGGTAGGTACTGGCAGTAGTAATATGGTCAAGATTATCGTGTGTATGAAGCTCTACACATCTGGAAGCCGAGCATGGGACAAATGTGGCCTCAATACAAAGCCAGATATTTATTACTGTCTAGAGCACTCGGGAAGTACCTCTTACTTGTGAGCAGCTGGTATTCTGCCTTCATTTAAATCATAGGCAGCCTGTATGGAAATGGGCAACATGTGGATTTCTGTAGCTTTGAAGTAACAGACATGGTTTAGTGAACTTTCTAAATAAAATGCCTTTGTGGGAGCTGGTGCCATCTTCAGTTTCATGGAGGCTATTGCATGTTTTATTTGTGTTGGAATTAACATGTCTGTTATGAACTGCATCTTAACTGGTCTCCATGATGAAAATTTTCACTATGTAACTCTGTTGTGGAAACTGTAAACAAACTTTCAAGACTGATCAGCAGTGCTTAAAGTGCTGGAGGATACTGAGCAAAGTAAAAAGCAGAATTAATAACTGTGTCCTGTCCTGTGACATAGGAGTGCTAGGCTTCTATGTAACAGAAGTGATCTCTCCATTTGAGTAATGTATGGGCAGTTTCCTGACTTTCATAGTGGTCTCCAAGATGTTACCTGTGGAGCCTTTGATAACTATATTTTAATGAATATTACAGGAATAACATGCCGTCCACTTTTGCCAGAATTGGAAACAAACTAAATCAGCAGAAAGACACTCGTCAAGCAACTTTCCTGTTTAGAAGGGGCCTGAAGGTAATAAAAATTACTGAAAACAACAACAAAACTGTGCCACAGGTTCTAAGCTAGCCTGTAACACTGATAGTAATGGATCAACTCTGAATATCAGATCTGAGTAGAAACTTGAGGCGGACTGGGAAATAGGCACCGGTTCTTCCAGGGAAATATACTTGTCTTCATCAGTTACTGTCACCCATTGAGTCTTACTTCCTGTTCCAGTGTAGCTGAACTGTTCAGAGGGACATGGAACTTGTCAGAGTGTTTGAGGGTAGTTGCAAGTTATTTACTTCTAAATGGAAAAGTTAATGTTAGAAAGCCCTGTGCAGCTTTCAAAAGTTACTTTTGGGTGAAGGATAGATCAGGTACATGTTTTAGAATCTGATTATGTTTTGGTTTGGGTTGGGGGTTTTTTTGGTGTGGTTTTTTTTTTTTTTTTTTAGTTATTTTGGTGTTATATATTTTAGTTATTTAAATTATTATCTTAGTTACTTAAGGACTTTTTAGTTATTTTGAGTAAGATGAAGAGAATAGAGAGTGTGCAGTGAATGCTAGTGGTAGTGGTGTCCTCTGTTTTCATTTGTGCCCTCATTCTACATCTGCCATCATTCTGACTGCTGTCTTCCATCTGCATGGATTGCAGATATTACCATTGTAGGGCATTGGAAAGAAATTACTTTAAGAACACAAAATTATTTAAAGAAAATTGTCAATGATAGTAACTTAACCAATAAAGAGATGGAAAAATTTTTGAGGACTATGTTAAGAAACACTTTCCAATGTCTTACAACGGTAATAGGATAGTTATCTTTGAAGTCCCTCTGAAAGTACAACCCCGTTTATGCAGAGCTTACGAACAGCTTTAAACTTCTATTCTTGAACTGATGTATTTCGAGCTGCTGCAATGGGAATTGAAACAGTATTCAAATCCAGTGTCTGTACTGTTTTCAGGTGCAGGCCCAAGTGCAGTCAACAGATGATCTTGATAACCCGACAGTAAAGAGAACTCGTCAGTAAGTATTTAATTTGGAAAACTTCCTGTTAGTTACTGGTATGATGCTCATACAACCCATTCAACTAAAGTTCTGTCTTCCTGGCTATGATAATTGAATGAGGTTTTTTTTCCCCTGTAGGTGTATCAACTGAGTGACAGTGATCCTCCCCTTATTCTCAGTTATTTCCTAAATTATCTTCTGATTTAACCAGAAGAGGTTTGTTTGCATAAGATGCTTGCAGGAGTGAGTGGGAAGGTGGTAGTCTCAGAGGATCAGACTAACCTCTACTGCTCATTAATACTGCATAGACTGGAAGAAAAATTTAGATGTCAATGTTCTCCTGAGCTCTTGATGTAATTTCCATTTTATTTGCTATAATATAAGCCTATGAAGCAGTTGGGAAATAAGCAAGGCAGGTCACAAAGCAGATGCTCAGCTCTCCCGCCACGTATTGGTATTCTTCCCATGCCATTCTGTACCTGCTAGGCTCTTTGCAACTTGTTTGTTGGTAACACAACAGGCTGAGTTAGCAGCGTATGCCACAGATCTGCAGTCTGTCACCTCTTTGATTTGCTGTGAGGATCATTTTGGCCCCATCTGTGGCAAGGAAACCAAGTGATGTAAAACGTTCGGTGAACATTCCAGTCAGTGCTGTAGTTCTGGTACACCTTGCCAGCACATGATCTAGTGGTCACCTGAATAGGTTTAGATAATGTACAAGATAGAAGAATCAATGGCCAAGCTTCTGGTAGATTGTTTGACCGCATGTGGTCTTCATACTGGCCTCTATTCTGAAAGCTTGTACATTCTTTACTAGCCAGTGTTTTGGACACATATTTAAAGATACTCTGACTGAAATTTCTGCAACGTTTTTGTGATTTCTGTGTTTTCAAACTAGATGGCGGACTTCTACCACGAGTGGAGGGATTTTGACTGTATCTATTGACAACCCAGGAGCAATCATAACCCCAGTGTGAGTTTTCAAAAAAGTTCTGAAATGTTCTTAACATAGCTGAAATCGCTGTTCTGAGCCATTTAGCAAGTTCCTTGCAGATAGTATTGCAGAGGACCTCAAGGTCACAGCTTTTCATGAAGACTTTTAAATCTGGCCCGTTTCTGAGCTGTGTTTGAATAATACCACAGCTGGTTTCTTAAGGCATCTCCCGATTAGGAGCTTGATGTGGTGTATGGAGTTGAAGAGTGGTAGGTTGATACATTTAGGGACATGGTTTAGTGGTGGGATGGCAGGGTTAGGTTAAAGGTTGGACTCGATGATCTCAAAGGTCTTTTCCAACCAAAGTGATTCTATGATTCTATAATTTTCACCTTGTCTACCTCTTGCAAATCAGACTGTATTGCAGCTGATTTCCCCCCTTATCTGAATAAAAATGAACAAGTATCTAGTTGATGAGTGATGGTAATAGTTCCTCTCTGGTTCATAAAGATACTGCTAGAGTTGTGCTTAAAAAAAGCATTGATGTATTTGTCTTTGGGGAGTTGATGGTACTGTTGTTTCATGAGGTGTTTTATTTTAAAAATTTCTCATAGCTTTTTTCATTAGTAGCATTTTATCTGTAAGGGAGACTGTACTGATTTTTATTTTTTGTATTTATGGGACTAATTAACTGCAAATTATGCATTGGTCAGTAGGATTGAGAGATAAAAAGGTAAGATCGCTTCCTGTCAGGACACTTGCTGTCCGATAGCAATAACAAATGCTACCCTTTTGTAGTTCTACCTGACTTTTTTACCTTCTTGAATTTGTGCCCTCCAGCTACTCAGCCAGCCTGATCAAATGGCTTGATGAAAAATTCAAACTTCTATTAGCATTAAGGCTTTATTGCACAAAACACATATACACTGTGTCCTCTGTAACATTCTTCTTTCACAGTTCCCAGAAATTACGATTAACTTGTACTCCTGTGCCGCCATTTCTGATGAAGAGGGACCAATCTGAAGAGAAGAAGATTCCCAAAGGAGTTCCATTGCAGTTTGATATTAATAGTGTCGGAAAACAGGTAAATGTAGTTTCTTTCCTTAACTATGGAAGTAGTTTCAAGATAGATAAAAGCCAGTGATCCAGGCACTTTCCTCCTAGACTCACTAGTGACAGAGAGAGGGAACTAGTGACCACTTCTTGTTTCCACTTCCAGTTCTTCCACTAACTAGCTATGTAACTTCAAGCAAGTAACTAAACTCACTGTTCCTGTTCCTCTAGTTCACGTCTTTCATGCCCACATGCTTT